CTTCTCCCTCGAAGGGAACCATATTTATTGCTTTAATTAGAGCACCAAGTAGTAGGAGGAAATGCAAGTCTTCAGCTCTTCTTCTGACAGCCTCAGATTGGGGAGGTAACTTGGAAACCCGCTGCTGCAAAGATGCCAGCTGGATAATTAGCAGTATGCTGCTCTAGTTAAAGAATGTGGGAGGGGGAATGGGAATCAATGTAAGCATCGTTAACAAACTTGAACATTCCAAAATGGGCTTCCTAAAATGTTGCTGATGAAATGTTTGGGAAATTTTTGTTAAATGTGACTTAGTGTATTAGTGTTCTCTTTGTGTGGAGGGAGGAGCGAGGTGTTGACATTCATTGAACCTGCAGCAAATGTCATTGAATTGCTGAGCTGGCTCTCTTTCTGTGTTGAGAGAATAACTCCCTACAATTATTCCCCCAGGGAGAATTGAATTTGCCAACCAATTAAAGCAAGAAAAGATAAACTTTTCCAAAGTATTTTTGGAATTCAGCAAGGTCTCAGTAAGTCATAACTTTTTCTTTTATTATTTTTTTAAGAGAGTTTTTTGCTATAGGACGCGTGAGTGTGCCAGAGAAAGAGACACAGAAAGACAAAAAGTGAGATATCACTTTCCAAAGGGAATGTCCACACCACAATTCCCTCTCCTTCATTCTCTTCTCAGGATTCTGGGCATGCACACACATGTGCCCAGTGGGAGTTTTAAGCCAGCAGATCTGGGACTTGAACCATGCTCAACTATATGGGAGTCCATAGACATAATCACTAGTCATCTGCTAGTCCCAATCAGTTTTTAGGAAAATAACTGGTAGAGTGTCCAAGAGTGATTTCCAAAACTAATGACTAGTCAGGTATGGTCCAGGTCAATCAGAATAGAAGGAATGCATTAAGCTGTACAGGTACGCTGCACCTCGAAATTAGCCATGCCAAGTCTCTTGTTTGTGATGTACTTTTGCTTTGGGAAGAAGAATGCAAGTTTCTGGTGGTTTTTAGAATATGGAACTACTTATACTTCTATTTTATGATTTATTATAAATTCTGAACTTTTTATGAATTCATTCATTTATCCATTCTATAAGCGGAACATTGAAATCAGTTTGCATCAAATATTAAAGCTACAGATACAACAAAGACAACAACTCTTGCCCCCAGAGGTTTACATTTTAAAGCAGGGGTCAACAAACATTTTTTTTCCAGTAAAGACCAGATAATAAATATTTTCAGCTTTGCACCTCTGTAGTATCTGTCACTACTATTCAGCCCTTGCCTTATAACATAAAAGCCACTGTTGACAATACATAAGCAAATGAGTATGGCTGTAATTCAATGAAACTTTATTTATGGATACCGGATCGAATTTCATATAATTTTTACATGTCAGAAAAAATGATTCTTTTGATTTTTTTCCTGACCATTCAAACATGTAAAGGCCATTCTTAGCAGGTAGGCTATACTAGAAGGTGGCTATGCAGATCTGGTCCATGGCCTGTAGGTCTCTGTACGTCTCTGATCTAGAAGACTGATACTAGAGGAGAGCTAGCTCCTAGGGCCAACTGGCCGGTGTTGAAAATAGGATGATAAAATACAAAAAGGCATAGACTACTATATGCCCACAGATGTGAGAACTATAGAAACTTAAGATTGGAAGAAACTTCAGAGAGGCCTTGAATGACTTTTCTAGGGCATTTGATTCCCCTTTGGGCCATTTTCAATCAGCTGCCCAGACACCTTCAATGGCAGGACTTGGCAACTTCACAAGGCACCCTATTCTATTGTTGGATAAAGACATTTTCATTAAATTTGTACTTTTGTTTAACACAAATATCCATATATAAATACATAAGGACTCTGAATCCCAACAAATCTCTCCTAGTATACTTATTTTTTCCTCTTTGGTAAGCCTCATGGAATAAATATTAGCAACTTTTCCACATGACAATTTATGGACAGCTATCCCACCCTTGTAGGTCTTAGCTATTTAATACTTATCATATTACTTGTCTATTTTTGGTCACATAATTTGATTCTTCAATCTGAAAGTTGAAAAAACATGGTTCTAGGTTTCCCGTTCTTTCTGATTCTTTCATAAATTCAATATTAGCTCACTTGTTTACAACATAGAGAAAATTTAAAAAGAAGCATAGGGAAAATAAAATTAGATCATTTCCTTTTAAAATGGTGATTCAAAACATATTTGCATAATAATAACAGTATGTGCCAATGTGCCCTATTAAAATTAATCTGCTTATGTGATAAAGTTTTTGGAACATGAGGCATAGCTTAGTTTCATCTTAAAAAGTACTAATCCCAAATAAGCATTATTTTCTTTGCAAAATGAATATTGCCAACGTTAGCTGCTCTCCTAACCTTTCTTGTGTTTCTTATATTTACTCAAGTATAAGGCAAGATTTTTTTTAAGACATTTTTGCTATAGGGTGTGTGTGCACTCACCAGAGAGACAGAGAGATAGAAAGTGAGAAATCTCCACCCAGGGGGATTGCCACACTGCAATCCTTTCTCCTCCAGTCTCCTCTTGGAATTTTGGGTATGCACACACACACCCGGTGTGAGTTTCAAATCACCAAGTCCTGAGCTAGAACTGTGGTTGGTCATGTGGCAGTCCAGTGACATAACCACTGCACCATCTGCTGGTTCCAATTAGGCAACTTCTTAAAAAATTAATTAACCTTTTTTTTTTTTGAGAGAGAGATTTTTGCTTAGGGTGCATGCACTGGAGAGATAGAAAGAGATAGAGAGACAGAAAGTGAGAAATCACCCACTCTCCCCAGGGGGAATGGTCATTCCACAATCCCTTCTCCTCCAGTTTCCTCTTGGGATTTTGAGCATGCATGCACATACGCCTGGTGTGAGTTTCAAGTAATCAGATTCAGGACTCAAACTATGGTTGGCCATGTGGGAGTCCAGTGACATAATCACTACATAATTGCTGGTCCCTATAAGGCAACTTTTAAAAGTCAATTTGATACCAGAAGTTGTATTCAAATAGCCCAAAATACTGGGGGGCGGGGGTGAGGGGGAATGCATGTTGGAATATGAAGGCAGAGGGTGGGGGGGGAGTGTATGTGTGTATATAAAATACTTGTAATGCAATATTATAACTGCTGGACATTGCACTGTATTATAAACATAACAGATTCTGGAGTCAAAAAGATGATATCGAATAACAGCTTCATCACATAATATCTGGATAACTATGGGTGAGTTACTTCTCAAATTATTATTAAGTCTTAATTTATTAATTTGTAAAATGAGAGGAATAACACACATTTTATAGGATCAAATGAAGAATGTTAGCAAACTGTTTCACAGAATTCCTGGTATTCAGTTAGTATTCTTTTCCCCTTTCTTCCAGCCATCACCACCAGATTGCTTCTAAGGCTAATAATTGGCAAAGCAGGAGTAAGAGAAGATAGCAAATGAGATGCTGGAAAACCTAATAAGAGAAATCTCAGGCTGGAGGTACAAATACATTATCCAAGAGATTCACTCTTTGGGTTCTTTGTATAAAATCCTTTCCCTAGAATAATTAAAATATGATGGTAATATGATTAAATATTTAGCTAAAAAAGAAAATCCCTTTTCTCATCTGGAGGTGATTACAAGGAAGCAGGCTGGTGTGGTTTTCATTTAAAATGTAAATGTTGGTTTAAGTGTGCGAGACTGTCTCAAAGTCTAATAAGAAAGAAAAATCAGGTTGGGGCGTTAAGAACATTTAACCTTAGGCACCAAGACATTTGAATAATAGCTAACATTTTTATAGCATTTGCTCTGTAGCTTTAGATTATGGACTCTATACATATCAGCTTCTTTAATCCCCACAATGAAGTGACAGGCACTAATATTATCCTCATTTTGCAGAAGTGTGTGGGAACTACAATGAGTCAGTAGCAGAACCAGGATCTGAATCCAGTTCATCTGGCTATCGTTTGCAGTGTGCTTCCTGAGTTCTCCAGTACTTATCTGTTTCCTGACTCTCACCCTATCTCCATATTTCAATGGGAGAAAAAGTGAGCAATGCTTCAAACCTGGCCTACAGAAGTCCTAAATCGCTAAGCCTATAATGCCCATCGGATGACACGAACAAGTGCAGGCCATAAAAGGAGATCTATAGATAGAATGCCATGTAAAGGGTGCCGTCACCACTCAGCTCCAATTAATTTTTGAATGAAAGGAATTTAGTTTGTTCAACATTTAGTAAACATGGCCTAAACACAAATCCAGTGTCAGACATTCTCCTTGGCACTGGAACTACTGTGGCTAAGAAAATAAAACCTCCGTATTGTGGGTTGAATAGTGTCTCCCTCCCCCCAAAATGTATGTCCACTCAGAGCATCAGAATGTGACCTTTTCTTGGAAATAGGGTCTTTGCAGATATAATTAAGCATAGAGATAAGGCCTTAAATCCATCAAGAATACGATTTAAGGAGACAGAAAAGGACACACAGGCACAGAGGCAAAGATTGAAGCGATGTGTGTACAAATCAAGGAACATCAAGGATTGCCAGTGACCAGCAGGAGCTGGGAGAGAGGCATGGAAGATCTCAGATTTCATCTGTTCTTCCACCAATGTGCAATGCAGTTACAGGATCCCACGCTGCCTTCAGTTATCCTGTCCCCTATTTTCATCCACTATGCATGTGACAGTTCTCGGTCTCTTTATCCTTCTTGCCCTTGACACTCATTTATAGTCCTGGTTAGTTATTTTCTAGAACATCCCTCAATTTAGGTTTGTCTGATATTTTTCTCAGGAGTAGATTGAGATTATACCATTATTTGAAAAGTTACTTCAAAGGTGCTCTGCCCTTCTGTTTTTCATATAGGAGGTATGCGATGTTGACATGTACTGTTGATGATTTTTAAACTTCATGTCAGGATTCTCCACTGTAAATGTATTATTCCTGAAGTGTAAATACTAAATGTTTAGGGGGGGATTGTATGTAAACATCTTATTTCTGTTTAAACTTTTGTCTACTGATTTTAGCATTCATTAATGAATTTAGGCAAAATATTTTGAAACAGAAGATTTATGAATCAAGACCTTTCCTATTAGACTTTAAATGTACTGTAAAGCTTTTGCGACTAAAGAGGTATGAAAATAAACAAATAAAGAAGTAATAAGCTCTTAAGAAGAGTGAGCTTATTTAAAGACCCATGCATATATCCAAGTATGGATATATAAACAGTGGGGAAAATGAATTATTGAATGAACAATGTGGAAATAATTAGCTAATTATCTGGAGGATAGTAAAGATAGGTCTCTATTTTAAGTACGAACAAACATAAATTCCAAATAGATAAATATAAAATTTAATCTACTGGTCAGAAGAAACTATAGGAGAATAATTATATTTCCCTATGGAAAGGGGAAATCTTTGCTAAGCATGACTCAAAGTAGGAAGTTTTCAAGAGTGCTGGAAATACTAAAAACTAGGAAAACATGTCAACCTACAAAATCATGGTTAAATCAATGATAGCAAATCCCACAAAGGGATAACTATACAGCTTTTATAAAGAACGTGAATGCTCAATGAGTGCTGACATCCGGGAACCATATTTTAGTTAAAGCAAAAGTAAAATCAGAAAGGGAAAAGATACACCAAAATCTCATAAAAAGACTAATTTCATTAATGCCCACAGAAAACAAAAAATAAATGAGAATGCAAAATAACTGTATGTATAGGTTAGACTCTTTTGCTAAATTATTCTACCCACTAGTTTTATTCTATGGAAATAATAAAGATATAACCAATTTTTTATATAGGGATTTTCATAAAAGTGTCACCCAAAATAAAATAGCCAATATTTGGAGAACTTTTAAGTAAAAAGAAAAGTATTTATGTAATGTGAAATAAAAAAAAGAGAAACAAATGAAAGAGTTTTTATGTGTAGTACAATATCAACTTAGTATAAATGTATAGATAAAGAAGAAACAATTTTCTTTATGCTTTAAAAAGTTTAATTCCTTTGGATCAGAAATTCTATGCCCAGTAATCTATACTTTCCATTCAAATTATAGACAAAGCTCATACAGCAAGATTTTTGCTGAAACATTGTGATAGTCAAGACACTGAAAACTAATTGACCAGAAATTCAGGAACTGTTAAGCTAAAATTTGGCATAATCAGATGATGAATTATTTTATAGTTATTTAAAATAATGTTGAAAAAGAAGATTTTGATTTTTCAATCATCAACAGTTCTCATTTTTGTGTCTACTAATTTTTATTTCCCTGATCCCCTCCCTCCCACTCCCTATTATCCGCCCCTCATTATCCACCCTGTTCTATACTGTCTCTAGTGTCTACAGTTGTCCTTCCTGGTATTATACCTTCCAATCTTTCAGTTTCTGCTATAAAGTGTAGACATTTGATATATATTAATCAGGGACAAACAATGCGTGTCTTTCATAGTCTGACTTGCTTTGCTTAACATTAAATCATCTATATTTGTCCACTTTATATCAGAGTCTCATTGTTTTTTATGGCTGAATAGTATTCCATAAAGTACATGTGCCACATTTTAGTGACATGCAAAGATACCTATGGTGCCACATAAAGTTAAAGAACATGAAATAGAAAAACATCTGATCTTAACTATAAAATATAGCATAGAAGAAATTCATGAAGAAAGTACAATAAAATGTAATAGTTGCTTCTCTTTGTGGTGTTCTTAACCCTTTTTTAAAAAATACTTTTCTTGGTATTTTTAAAAAAATTTCTGCTATGAGTGTGTGTTAATCTTAATGTCAGAAAACAATATTTGTTTTAAAAAGAAGAAAAGGCACTAAGAGTAGGGTATTTTCAGGTGTATATTCTATCCAATGTTACTAGTGGTCTCTAACATCAAGATAGTAAAAATTGGCCTTTTAAATTTACAATGGCCCATAGATCTGAGAGAATTTGAGGGGCAGACCTTTAACTGTTGATTTTACTTTAGCCCAGGGAGGACAAGCACAGTAAAAATTATGTTAGCAATAGAAGGATAATTGGTGCCTTGAGGTCTGCACTGTGGTATTTTGTAAGAAAAAATTGTGATAATGATATCTTTGAGTCAGTAAGACACAGACCTCTGGGTGTGAATAAAAACCTATAAGAAATCTGTGTTCAGAAACTAAAAGACAAGGAAAAAAAAAACCACGGCTATTCAATGAGGGTGAGAATAAGGGTTTGGTTTGTGTATGTGTTTACTTCATTTTCAATCTGATTAAAAGAGATGTTTACAAAATGACTATAGAAAGAGACAATTCTAGAATTTCTTAACAGCAAGCATCCTTTTTTTTTCAGGGAGGGAGTGTTTGGCCATAGGGTGCATGCACTCCTTGGAGAGAGACAGAGAGACAGTGAGAAAGAGTGAAAAATTGCAAAGGGGATGGTTATACCACGATCCATTTTTCTCCTGAGATTTTGAGCACACACACCCAGCACAATTTTCAAACTGCCAGTATTTGAACCATGGTTGGCCATGTGGGAGTCCAGCATCTTAATCACCATGCAACTTGCTGGCTCCATAGTAAGCACTTTTTATTCATATCAATGCTTACTTTTTAATCATTAAGACTGTTGATAAGAACTGAATGGAACAGGGACCATTAGGGTGTGGAGAAGCAGTGTCAAATTGTAGATCCTCAGAAATGAAGGTGGTGGAAGTCAGTAGGATGAGATGTATCAGCTCTTGGTTTATAGATATTTCTTTGAGAAGTGAGCTCAAAGGATTTTCCAAGTTAGATTTATTCTTGAGATACTAGGACTAGTGAACAGAAGCTACAAAGAGTCAGGTATTCCAGTTCAGTATAAAAGTAACTTTTTTCAATGTACTGTTTTCTTGCTGGAATAAATCATTTTGTATCCTCTAAAGATATACGATACCTACATGAAATAAAAGGGGAATAGTATTTGGATTACCTTCTGTGCTATTGACTCAAACCACTATTGAACCCAATTAGGGATCACGCCATTGCAATTGTGTTGATTAAGCTCCTGTACCATTAGTATCTGGCCATCCAATCTTTCCATGTATTCCAGTCTAGCTAATGGTATCACCATATCCTACTCAGTTGTCTCAGTTGGTAATCCTAGGGTCATATTAACTTTATTTTACCTTCTCATATTGTCAAATTCTATATATTTATGTTATCACCAAATTCATATGTTGAAATATACCTGCCCTCAAGATGATGGAATTAGGAGATGAGGCCCTTGGGATATGGCTAAATCATGGGATGGAGCCCTCAAGAGTGGAATTAGTACCATTATATGAGAGACTACAGAGATCTATGTAACTTCTTCTACTATGTAAGGGCATAGCAAGAAGACTCCCTCTATGAACCAGAAATTTGGCCCTTATTAGAAACAAAATCTGTCCATGCTTTGATCTTGGACTTCCAACTTCCAGAACAGTGAAAAAATAAATGTGTTTTTATCCACTTACCTTATGGTATTTTATTATAGCATCCTGTATGGA